ATAGTAATCTCGTTCCTATATCCTGACCCTTAGCAAGCATCCTAATCATTTGTCTCAATGTCCTCATTGTTAATGATTTACTTGTACATATTACTATACATTGCCAAAGGGCAAGAGCGGATTATCTGTGCAAGTCTATCTGTAAAAGTTAGATTTATATAATCAATCGATTTGATTTTAAAAATATATTTTTTTGCGTTTATATATGTAAGGTAGAAAAAAATAAAAGGCTTCACGGCAAGGCAATTTCGACGGCCTGTTTCGAGTCACAGAATAGTAGTTTTGATATTTTTGTAACGAATTACGAAAATAAAAATAGTCGACCGTATGAGAAGTTTTTTGTTCTTGTCAAGTTGACATTTTAAAACTTCCTGTAGTCACTACCGTTAAATAGAATTTATCTGTAGAAATAAATTTAATATCAGTTTTAACGTATAAGTACTGCTCTTTTTAGAACGATAACGAATTATTTGGGTACACTTTGAGAGTTGCACAATTTAATTTCCTTGTTAAATTGATTTGTCATTCTACCATAGTACAATGACGCAATTCAGATTCTTGGGCAAAATTTTCATTACAACGTATATTGCGAATCTTAAATTTGTCTTACAGCCAACGGTTAACTATTAATCCCTTTAACTGAAAAATCCCTGTTGGCACTGAATGCTCCAAATATTGAATCATAAAAAGCAAAGATTAAGACTCTCATTCGAACCTCGGCCGTGCACCAATGGACTTTCAGTCTAAGTGCGCATTTAACACTCGCTCGTAAGATAGAGGAAAACGCGACCGCCGCTGCGAAAACCGCTGTGAGAGTTCGAAAAGTGAGTTACAGAATCGCAAGGCTGAACCGCATAATCAGTCAAATATGCTGACCGCTATACCAAGAATCGTTCATTTATTTCAAGCATGTAATTATGTAGATATAGGCAATACTGACCTATCGTAATCATAATTTCCCTATTATTCCATTATATCAGGCCATGATTGTTGCATCATAAAGGAAACGCTTCCGTGATGTAATACATAATCATATCTTTTTTCTATCATATGATCGAATTTAATCTATAAAGAATCATCTTATGAAAGTGAAAGTAAATTATGTCATAAATTAATAACTAGCCGCTTTCGAAATAATTAATTCAGCGAAGGCGCATCACAATAGCTTTCTGTTGACAGGTGTTGACATTGTCTATATTAATCGACTGGGCAGGTATAACCGCCGTCGATTGAAAACTGGTGATCGAATCTAAGTTCAAACAATTGATGCATTATACCAACGGCTACAATCTCGGTCGGGGCCTCAGATATATGTACCTGTTTCGCGATTAGTTGATTTTTCTAATAGACAAGCAGGTGATCAGCCTTCCGTGCCTAACACACACCGTTCACTTTTCCTTCCTTCGCCGTTCGAGCGAGTAAATGCGCATATAGAAAGTCCATTGGTGCACAGCCGGGGATCGAACTTACGGAATGAGAGTCGCACGTTGAAACCACTAGGGCAACACAGCTTTTTTGATGAATTATAAGATTTATTTTTCATTGCCCAATATCTTTTTGACTTGCTGGAGTCATGTTTAAGATAAAACTTCACGCAGCGAGATTATTATTAAAACTTTTTGTTATACAATACGTCGTAAATATTCAAAAATTTTTTTGCTTAACATTTGTGCGATTTATTGTTTCTTGTGTTTATTATTGAAAATGGCTTAACAAATACATTGCAAGAGCTCGCGTTTCTCCTACCAGTAAAAGCGAGGATAATTCTTTCCGCAGTATCTGAAGCATCGGTGTCAGACGTGTGAAATTCCTAACAACCTTAACAAATGCGAGAAACCTGAGACTACGAGAGAACAATAAATTTGTAACCGACGCGTTTTCTCTTTCATTGTTCTCTAAGGTATAAATTACAGCCTTTTATAAGCTTACAATTATCACTATGATATAAACAAAGTCATGTGTGAAAGGTGTTTGTTGATGTATAAGTTGACGCCGTCTCTGTCTTATTTTATTTTCATAAAAACTGTGGACATAAATGTTTTCTGCGCCATCCTTACATTCGGTAGCAGTCCAAGGAACGAGTCCGAGTGCCTCGTCTTCGCAGTCGTAGCTTCGAAGCCCGGCAGCACTAATGGAGTTTTTTTGTTTATATGCATTTAACACTCGCTGTTACAGTGAAGGAAAACATCGTGAGTAAACGGGCATGCCTTACTGGCGTATGTCAGGCATAAAAGACTGGTCACCTACATGCCTGTTAGAATAAAATGAACACGAAACAGATTCAGAAATCTGAGGCAAAGAACAAGCGTTATAGCACGACTAGTTTTTTTATATATCCTGCAAATGTTCTCAAATATATGGAGCCTGACCTTTTTGTATCAAGTCTTACGTAAATTAAAATCAGGTAGAACTTATAAAATCAACGCTAATATATGACATCCAAGCTCTATCCAAAGATAAATGCTTATTTCAACTCGTCCTTTCAACTCGTATAAGAACAGAAACATACAGACTTGATTTTCTCCCAAAATGACCAGTCATATAATTAAAATTCGAGAGAGATTAATGCCTATTAGGTCATGATACAACCGCAAGTATAACACAAAAAATTCACAATTTAAGAACTTAAATCAGTATTTCTAATTTGCCCAAAGGCTAAATATTGCTAAATTATATTTCAGTTTCTAAATTCAAATATTTTAGACAAATACGAAATAAGTAAGACTTTATCACGAGACGGCGAACCACGATTCTACTGTCTCTGGTATCGTAAATCTTGATCTAGTTGTGTAAAAGCGGAATTTCCTGATATTCGTGGTAGATGTAGATGTGTCAGATATGCCCTATTAACTTGTAAACTTGTTCGTTGTATAACATGGATGATAAACAAATTATAGTCATTAACGGTGTTTGATAACGAAACGCTGCAATGTAATAGCAAGGCACCACCCAGTGGTGGATTTACCAGCAGGCTGAGTAGCCTGGAGCCCAGGGCGGCAGATTTTTGGGGCGGCATTTGGGAACCGATTTTTTTTGGCTACTTAATAGAAAAAAAAAGGGTTCGTGTACTTATGTACGCGCGTAACAAGTTATACTTCATTGGCATTATTAAAAATAGTTTTTGATTGCATGCAAATAATTAATTACAATTGAATAATCAAAGACTGGAAAAGGAGTATAGTCAATAAAAGATCAGTTTACATTTGAAAAATTTAATAAATAAATACTTATTATTATTCTCATTTCTCTTACATTAAGTGTAACATAAATTCTATTATTATTCGAATGTTGTTTTTAAATTATGTCCAATGCCGTAGCATCTTCCGTGGGCAACTTCATTCTGTTAATTTTGTGTCACGGTGCGCGCGCATCGTAAAATCGCTCTCATTAATTTTTCATAACGCACCTAAAGAAGTATAACTTCAAAAAATCTGTGTGATGGTTTTTTGATGTTTTACAAATAGATTTGTTGTCTGCAACAAAATTTGCCGATGACTTTCCCCGTTCACTTGTCATTGTACATTCGGAGTAGCAAACTTCCATATTCTAGAGTAAAACAGCTAGTGCGCCTCTAACAACCAACCAGTCAAACTTCGTATGAGCGAAAAGAGTGAAATTGCAGAAAATTTCCCTCTTCCCCTTCCCCCTATCAATCCATACATCATGTCAGTCCTACTACTGGTTAGAGGCTGCGAACTGGATATTTGTGTATAATTTACTCAAAAATCAAACATACCTATATATTATGTTACGTGCAATTTCAACAAAATTGCTGGATTATAGAAGCAAGGGCTAGTCTATACCTTAAAAATTTGTAAATCCGCCACTGACAACCACCACAGAGTAAGCGTTTTAGCCCTCAGCTTATTTCTCTCTCTCTTCTCTCTTTCTTCTCTTCACGATTAAAAAATCAAGGCAGAAATCTGTCGACTCCGTGCTAAATTAGGTTTACGGGGCACAAAAAACCAGTCGCGCTTCAACCTCTAGTTCTCAAACTTCTGTATCTGTTTCGTGACTTTTTTTCTTAATAGGCAAGTAGGTGATCAGCCTTTTGTGCGTGAGACACGCCATCGATTTTTAGGTATAAGTCATGCAGGTTTCGTCACGATGTTGGTTTGATACTGTGACAAATCACAAACAGAACGCGCCATTGTTTTGTTTTACATTTACACCAAAGCTTTCTGATTAAGGACGTGAATGTTTAGTAGTTTAGTAAATGTTTAATAAACTTAAACAATGCCTTCGTAATCATTAAAATGTATCGTAAATATTATTTAAGACAGATAAAAGTAAAAGTTGTTTGACATAAACCTTATTGCTAATTAACTTTACAAGCTGGTATAACATTATTAACTATTAATAAATTTTCTAGTATATCTATAAACTATAATATAAGTTATCTCTTTTGTTGTACGTTTTACGAGTATAGTTCTAATATATTAAGATCAAAATGAAGTAACAACTTAGTTTAACACTCCTAGACTCCTAGTATTATACGATCTACGTTATTTTTTATTTTATCGTAAAATAAATCGAAAGTAAGTGTAATTTAGAATTTATTTCATATTCGGTAAACGAGGAATGAGTTTTAGATAAGCTTGAGCTTCTGTTTGATAAGTACTTTGGTTATAGATTATCTCATATATTGTTGCCCACAACGTAGAAATACCTATTATTATTACTAAGCCTTTATTGCTGACATCTAGTATAATATATATAAGCACTGATTTAAGTTAAATAACCTAACTTAATCTAATACACCATATATGCCGGTTTTGGTAATCAGCGTGTCATGTGACACACAAGGCCTCTTCCAGCTGCTTTCATTCTCTTCTAATGTTAGCTCTTCTTGTCTTCTTGTGTCTCATATTTAATGGAAATACATAATAACAACATTATTAATAAACATTTAAATACACTTAAACATGAAATTGTTTACTTCAAATTCCAAAAACAAAAGCGTTACACATTTATAGCATTGATGTATTATTTCAGATGTGATGCGACGGCTGTACCTAACAGACAGACATTTAAGGGTGATGCTATGGTGTATATTATTGGGATTGCAGCCAGCGTTTGGTGGTATTCTTGACCCATTCAATTGGGCACGCTCAGATCGAATTGAGGTCAATATCCCATGGCTACCTTGTAAGTAATAAAAGTTTTTATTGATTTCTTTTTTTTGTCGCGCACCACTTAGTGGAACCCCGATGTATTTCCGAACCAATTCGACTTAGGGTCCTTTATGAAAAGAGCGTAACAATTCTTAAAAGACCGGCAACGCACTCGTGAGTCCTACGGTAATATAAGTGTCAATAAAAATAAATTGTAGATTTGTGTATTATTTGTTTTTTTTTTTTTTTTTTTTTTTTTTTTTTTTTTTTTTTTTTTTTTTTTTTTTTTTTTTTTTTTTTTTTTTTTTTAAAAAAATTTTTTTTTTTTTTTTTTTTTTTTTTTTTTTTTTTTTTTTTTTTTTTTTTTTTTTTTTTTTTTTTTTTTTTTTTTTTTTTTTTTTTTTTTTTTTTTTTTTTTTTTTTTTTTTTTTTTTTTTTTTTTTTTTTTTTTTTTTTTTTTTTTTTTTTTTTTTTTTTTTTTTTTTTTTTTTTTTTTTTTTTTTTTATTTTTTTTTTTTTTTTTTTTTTTTTTTTTTTTTTTTTTTTTTTTTTTTTTTTTTTTTTTTTTTTTTTTTTTTTTTTTTTTTTTTTTTTTTTTTTTTTTTTTTTTTTTTTTTTTTTTTTTTTTTTTTTTTTTTTTTTTTTTTTTTTTTTTTTTTTTTTTTTTTTTTTTTTTTTTTTTTTTTTTTTTTTTTTTTTTTTTTTTTTTTTTTTTTTTTTTTTTTTTTTTTTTTTTTTTTTTTTTTTTTTTTCTTTTTTTTTTTTTTTTTTTTTTTTTTTTTTTTTTTTTTTTTTTTTTTTTTTTTTTTTTTTTTTTTTTTTTTTTTTTTTTTTTTTTTTTTTTTTTTTTTTTTTTTTTTTTTTTTTTTTTTTTTTTTTTTTTTTTTTTTTTTTTTTTTTTTTTTTTTTTTTTTTTTTTTTTTTTTTTTTTTTTTTTTTTTTTCCTTTTTTCTTTTTCCTTTTTTTTTTTCCTATTTTTTTTTTTTGTGTATTATTTGTTAAAATACTTCTATTTATCACACATTGTTGGGTTATGTATTATTTTATCTTGTTTTCTTTCTTTTGCTGTGTAACTTTTAATAGCAAACAAATTATATACAAATGGTTCTGTCCAAAAGCTGTATCAGAAATAAAGTTTCTATGTAAAAAGTCAATCATTTCAAACTTTTTCCTGATTGCCTTCACCTTTTAAATGAGAAATCAACATGTTATGATAAAATGTCTACCCTAGTAACATACCAATGATAATTATTACGAGTCGTATAATTTTCGATTCTAGCAATTATGACTGATATGGCAAGTATTTAAGTTAATCTAATTATATTGTTTTAGTTGAAAATGAAACTAGATGCTACGATGAGCTTGGTTGTCTGAACATCACACGGAGTTGGTATCACCTAATTCACCGGCCGTTTAATGTTTTTCCTCTCCCCAGAGTAGTTGTGAATACAAGGTAATTTATTCTAATCATAAAAAATCATATACGAGAGTTTGATAATGCTCTTTTTCTTTTTCATCTGTCCTTTTTTTTATTATGGTTTCACTGTCAACTAATTGCTTTGCTTTGTACCATTAGTTTTGTCTTAGTAATTTTATGTCTTACTAGCGGCCCGTCCCGGCTTCGCACGGGTGGCAAATATTTTTTTAATTTTGTTTTGTAGATATTGATATATTCTTTAATATTGTGGAACATTTTTGTTCTATCAGCAATAGTTTTTTACACCTTGGCTAACATGATTGTAGTGTTAGTAGGGATCCTTATTTTTTTCTTGCAATGAGAATAGCCTAAATCAGTGATAATGTAGCATTTAAATGGTGAAAGAATTTTTAAAATCGGTCCAGTACTTTTTGTGCCAATTCGTTACAAACATACTTACAAATCTTTCCTCTTTATAATATTAGTATAGATGTTTTATTTTACGCAAGACGCACTTCTTGCGTTCTGATCGCTCGAAAGCGAAAAGCACTCTTTTTTACTTAATTATTTAAATTGTACTGTATTTCAGTATTGATGCAACGAAGTGTTAATAAATAAATTCTTAATTTGGATCATTTCTCTCTCTAAGCTGAGTTACTGACTCTGGGCCACTAACACTTAACTTACACATTATCGGGAGTGTTCAAGAACTATTGTGACGGTGTATTTTATCATCGGTGGGGTCAAAACGCGAAACCCGTATCAGTTATCACATCCACATCTTGCGTTTTACTCTGTGCATTATTATTTTTGACGCGTTCGAATTTTGATTTATTTCCGAACGGATATGACCGTTATATCGTATAGATCAAGGAGGGTTTAAGAAAATAACGGACCACTTCCACAATTGTAACTTCCTGGCATTTGCAGGTGTCCATGAGCTTTTTCGAACCTATTCGCCTCATCATTTATCACCCCCGGAATATAGCTTCTTAGTATTTCAAATATTGTGGGCTACTTGATTTTGAGGAAGTTACGTTCGTTAGTTAAGTTCTGCTTAGCGTTCCGCCTTCTTAAATTTACACATATGTATATCCTTTCTATAACATATATGTATTTATAAGTATATGTTCGTGCTCTGTTACATGAGTGATGTTTGAGAGTAAAAATAAAATAAAAATCACTAGGGGCTGTTCATAGCAAATTTTCAGCTTCATTATACTTTTAGAATTATGTATTATATGTAAGCTGTCTGGCTGCCTAATACAAAAGATGATTTTGATCGATATTGTTTTTTTTTCTTAGGTTCATTCTATACACGAAGAGTAATCCCACTGATGGACAACTACTTAACGTTAATGTAAATAAAACAATAGTTAAATCTAACTTTAGTCCTCGTCGATTAACTAAAATGATTATACACGGATTTATAGACACGCCACTCTCAAATTGGGTAAGTTTCTAATTTTATAAACCTCTTTACATATTACAGTAATAAAACATATTTTAATTATTATAATATTTATTTATCGATCATACATATAGCTTTTTCAATTGTAATTGTATTGTTAAAGCACTTGTAAAACAAAGCTATGGGTGTAACTTATTAGCGGCTTACAACGGATTACTGTGCTTGTCATATTCAAAAAATATAAATATCCATACATATTCAGCCACGGCAGTTAAACTCTATTGTGACTTACCTACACGAAACATAGTATAATAGCATTATATAATTCTTTTGCTCAAATCGCAATGGCTTTTTATATAGAGATTTGAAGTCGACACCTAATAACTATCCATTTTTCTGACCGCTTAACAGTTGAGGCAGCATATAATAGACATTTTTAAATTGTATTAAGATCAATATATCACGTTTTAGGTGAGTGAAATGAAAGATGAGTTGGTGAAGGCCGGTGATTTTAATGTCGTGGTCGTGGATTGGGCGGGAGGCAGCTTGCCTCTGTACACTCAAGCGACAGCTAACACTCGACTTGTTGGACTTGAAGTTGCACATTTCGTCAATACTTTACAGGTAATAAATAACTTATCACATCCATACTTATAACTTATGTACGTCACCACAATAATCAAGAAGATAACCGTTACGTATTTTTTTTTTATTTCTTTATTTTACAAAAAAATATAAAACAATCATAATAAGTTACATTAGAAAACCGCTGTGGTTTGTATTGATGTAACCATAGCAGTCTTGGCTTGGCATAGAAATGTCGAGGCTATTCAACATCTTGACAATCTACTGAGAAGATTGATATAGACATTAGTGAATTAGTGTGAGTGCATGTTAGTCTTAAGTGCTAAACAGTCGTAAATTTAAAAATGGAACACAAGAACAGAGTGTCTTCCCCTTAATAGAGACTGTAAGTAGGGTTAATGGGCACTTTCTTATGTTAAATAACGTTATTGGTACCTAAATTAGATAAGTTTTAAATTACTAATTAGTCTTAATTTAGGCTAGATCGTCATGTTAAATTATGTCTTTGTACAGAGAAAATGAGTAAGAAATACTCATAATGCACTAGTTTTTATACTTTTAAGGTATAATATATTTTTATTGCGTTGACTATGCCTGACTCTTTAAGCATATTTATCGCAATAAGTGATTGATTTCAAGAGGCGAAAGACAATTAAAGTATTAATGTTTTTGGTAGAGACATATAATTAAAACATACATGTAAATATTTCACTTAAAATAATAGAGTGGCATGTGATAATTCCATTGGAAGACATATAGGTCATATATAGCAGCAGGTATAGCCACAGCTTCAATGATTGACTAGATTAGTTCATAATTGGCTGGCAACCGCACCTCTAAGGACTCTAATCATGGCATCTAGCAACGAAATTAATTTTTTGATATATACTTATTTCATCATCCTTAGCATAGATGTCGTATATTTGGGGTCATGTTTTTAATCGAGTTGGCCTGCAGGGTCTTGTGAGATCAGCTCAGGCTGTTTTAGCGAGCGTAGCTCTCCCGGCAATGGAGTTTTTCCTACGACTAGCAATGACGTCTTCTATGAGACTCGGGCCTTGCTTTGGCCGTTATGGGGTGGTCAATAGCCTGTACGACTTTTGAGATTATATATGTAACACTCAATATTAAACTCGGAAGCGTTATTAGAAGTAGCCCTTCTGGCTTATTATCATCAATATATTTATATCAGTAATTATTAAGAGTGATAATTATTGATACTATTATTAATAAGCGTCTTATGGGTTATAAAGTTTTGGTTATTACGTCACAGTTATGCTAACTTCATTTTCCAGAAAGAGCACGGCCTAAACCCCCTTGATGTACACATAATTGGTCATTCTCTTGGAGCACACACAGCTGGTTATGCTGGTGAAAGAATTCAAGTGAGTCTAACGGAAGTTTTATTAAAACGCACGTTCGAAAAGCTTGCAATTATTCAAACTCAAAATATATCATATCAATTATATCTTTATTCATGTAGGTAAACAAGTACACTTATGAATTGTCAAGTTAAATTAATTGTAAATTTACATTTACTACCCGTTAGCATGTCAAGGGCGTAGAGCGGGTAAAAAGAACTGGCAAGAAACTTTGCCACTCTTTTTAATCGCCAAGTATTATATATATTCGTGCATTTTATAAATAATTAAATATTCTGTAATGAATCACACGGAAGTTAATAACAATATGTTTTTCGGACTAAAATCAAAGTAATAATTTAATTTTTATCACAAAAATATTTAAAAAACAAATACTGTTATTCCTCAAACTATTTTCGAACAACACATAAATAACATTGTTTTCACGTACAATATTGCCTTTGATTTAGCTTACTTTTCACTAGGATTTAGGAAGAATTACAGGACTTGATCCTGCTGAGCCTTATTTTCAAGGGATGCCAACAAATGTGCGACTTGACCCAACAGATGCGAAACTGGTTGATGTCATACATACAGACGGGAAAAGCATATTCCTTTTAGGTAATGCATATAAACCTGTCTAATGCTTTTTAACCCGCACTATATCATTATCATACTAATAAATTATGTGTTATTGCCGCTTTGTTGCTAATATACTAACCTATATGTTATATATAGCTATTCAGCTTTTAGGTCATTGATCATGTATATATATTATATTTCTATTGCTCTTACTAATTTATCACCGTTATTCCACGCGTGCGACAGATTTTGTGTTTATGGCAGGATACGGGATGTCACAACCCGTGGGTCATTTAGATTTTTACCCTAACAATGGAAAGGAGCAACCAGGTTGTGATCTGACTGAGGGGCCACTGATACCCCTGACTTTAGTAAAGCAAGGATTGGAAGAAGCGTCCAGGGTTCTGGTTGCTTGTAATCATGTGAGAGCGATTAAACTGTTTACAGAGTCTATTAATGGAAAATGTCCTTATATAGGTAATTATTATTTCATATGAATACATCTAATGATGCTACAATATTCTATGTTTCCTTGCTCACGGTTCGGTGTGTCCTATACCTTTCGTTATATCGTCGCTGTAGAATGATAACTTCTTATGTTCAACGAACCAAACATACAGTAAACGAAAAAATGTTTAATTTCGTCAGTGTTAAAATCTTTAAATAAGTCCTTACTTCATGTATACCAGTTAAATGACATAAGAATAAAAAATTAATGGTTTTTTGACGTACGAGGTTATCATTCTACAGTGATGATATGCAAGTAGGCGCTAATAATTATATGCCTTTCGCATGAGTTTTGGGTTTAAAACATAGCCAGTTATTTATAAGTTTTCTTACGCCAAAAATGTTGGTGACAAAAAAAATATCGGGCCGGTTTTAGCAACATAGTCGAAAATCGCACTTAGCCATAACATCGCTTATACTAGTAAATAGTAGCAAGTTAATAAAGAAAAGTATTTTTTCTGTGGACCTAACTGGTCAAATATTTACAACTCATATTTTTATTAAGATTACAATATGTTTTGCTATCTTCATTATACCGTGTTCATTCATTCTTTCTATCTTCATTAACCCGCGAACAGTAAAGTTATATCTTATTGGCAGATGAACCTGGTTGTTTGTGAATGTAAAGATAATATTAGTTTTGAAATGTTTTAGGTCACCAATGTCCATCATATCAACACTTCCTGGACGGAAAATGCTTTCACTGCGGTCATGGTTGCGCCGTCATGGGGTTGGTATACAAGCCACTCAATAAAACTTAATTATAAATGAATATACGTTCATTAACTCGAGAAGATTTTAGATAAAACATATAAAGATTAAATTAAAGTTTGCTTTTAAGTAAAGTAAAGTTTATTATATTCCTTATTCGAAATTACGATAATTTTCATCGCTCGGCATAGAACATAAATATCGCAATACTGCGAGGAAATGTTGCCAACATTAATAATACACTGTAAAAGGTATTTTTAATTATTTTAGTACAATTGTATCGTATTTGTAGTTTCATAATAATGTTTGATACTTAGACTTTAAAAAGTATATTTATTTTATTAAATATATAAATTTTGGTAAAAGATTATAATTTATTTCCTAGATTCCATGCAGACAGCTCACCTGGATTAATCACGAATAAAGATAATGAGACTGAGAACGAAGTTTATCCTTCTGAGGAGCAGGAAACAATTGGTGCCAAGTACTTCCTTAACACTGGAAAAGAACTACCCTACTGCCGTAAGTTGGATTATCAAGATTTAAACTACTGTTTTTCATATATAATAGCTTGTATAATGTAACTTAATTGAATCCTTTGACTCAGAGGACAGTGACATGATTTTCAATTTAAAGTATAAATAATCATCAAAATTGTCAAGAAGAGTTTCATATCGTAATCTGTGTCGCTATTGTAAAATAAATATAAATTTATTTTCAAAGAAGTTTTAGTTAATTATTTCAAAAGGTATTTTTAATAATATCATGTTTCTTTCAGAACGGCACTACAAAGTCTCAATTCATTTGGCTAATCCTAAGGGTGCAGAATCCTGGGTTCAGGTTAGATATATTTTTATATTAAATAAAAATGTATGCTTTTTGAAGTAGGACAATCTGGGCTCTCTCTTTAATCTATGAAAATGATACAAATAGAGCAATACAAAAAAGTAACTTGGCGTATAAAATAGTAATTTGCGTAAATCTTGTTTTTATGTTGGAAGTGACAGAAATGCCTTTCGATTCTGTAACTCACTTTTCGAACTCACACAGCGGTTTTCACAGCGGCGGTCGCGCTCAATTCAATAAAGCAGTCATTTTATGACTTGGCATTCTGATAAGGAGGAAGCTTGTAGTTTATTGTTTTTCAGAATGCCAAATCGTAAAATGACTGCTTTACGACTGATTTGAGCGAATCAGAATCGCAAGGCTGGTCTCATCGTGTACCTATTTTATAACAGTAACATTACAAATACGCAGAAATGTTATTGCTTCATACATATGCATTTGGGCTTGTGGACTACAAATAACTCTAATACCTCGTAAGTAAATACATATTGTTTCATGATTACAGGGATTTTTGAAAGTAACTTTGATGTCGGAGAAGGGGGTCATCCGTGGTATGGATTTAACGCCTACAAATTATGTCAAGTAAGTTCTAAAAGTATAGTTCCCGAAATTAAGTAAGTGAGATGAGTAGTAGTCGTAGTTCCTGTTCTTCTAAAAATACATTCGGAAACGTATATCTTGACATGAAAATTCCTAAACTCCTGATGATTAAAAGTAATCAGGAATTATCAATAAAATAGGGTAACATTAATAATAAAGTGTTTTAAAATTAATAATTTAATAATTATTTATTTTCCTTCAACTTCTATACTCAATTCTTTTCAATCCTAAAACTCCTTTATCTTAAAAATGAATTCTAATTCTCAAGTCCTTATAACTATATATTACGCTCCTCTAATAGATGCGCTTTGGAAATTCCATCTCCCAGTTCATCCTTCTTATGCAATTCGTTTAGGATCTCCGCCATTAAGTTGTGGAATAGGCTGCCCTACTCCATACGATCGGCTACCTCCATAACATCTATTAAAACTCTTCTACATAAACATTTCTTAACCATATCCTATCCTGCTCAATCGTGATCGTAATTCATGAATCATTGAGATTAACTTTTTAGTTTTTAGTTGATTTTTTTGTATTATTTGAGATTAAGGTTGGTGATTCTATAATTAATTTTTTATAACATTTGGTTACGAGCTGCACTTTACCCATCATATTTCTTTTTTTAGTTTTTTTCCTAGGGTTGCCTGGAAGAGATCGCTTATTAGCGATAAGGCCGCCCCTTGCATCCCTTATATTTAGGGGCCCAAAAGGTCCCCCCCCCTGGTGACAGTTACCCCATAGGACGCCCCCTTTATATGTATTATGTTATTTGTTTTTCTATAAATGTAACGAAGTGTATTAATAAATAATTAATTTGTTATTAGTTTTGTAATAAAGTTAATCGGAAATCTATATCTATAATATAAAAGTAAATCGCAAAATATGTTGATAAGCACAAAACTCGAAGACGGCTGGACCAATTCGAGTATTTTTTTTTAATTCCTCGAACGCTGAGAAAGGTTTTTAAAGAGAGAAACTTCTTAAAAATTGCACGGGGAATCCTAAAAACCAGTTTCATTCAAAATCATATTAAGAGGAAGTAGCGTACGAGGGCAGCTTGTAATAGAATATATTCTGAACGACACGAATGAAGAACTCCTAATTGATGGAAATGGGACATTCTCATATTACCATTTCACTTAGGCATTTAATATGGTTTTTTAATTTTAAAATCCTTTAATTTATTATTTATTAATTGCAGATTAGAACATGGATCTTCGTATACAATTGTTG